TAATGCCCCTCAAGCTATGTTAAGAACCAAATGGTACATTTTGCGTTGGGTAAAGTATTAATCAGAGAAAATTACTGGCTTCAGTTCAGTTTCTAAGGATTTAATTTCAACGAAACGCTCTGATTGAAAGAGTTATATCGCGCATTGATTATCCAATTTGACTTCTACTTTTCAAAGCAGACCCTAATTCAATCCACTAAGTTTGAAAAAAATGATAACAGCTAAAGAATCTTTTCACATTTTAGCTCTAAATAACAACATTTTTGAATGCTATAAAAATCCCGTGAAAAACTTTGGTATAAATTTTGAAAATCGACTGAATGAAAAAAAAGACTAAGCATAAATAATCCGCACTTTCTTCGAACGTCAGAACAAGAGTTGACAAAGAACACAAGCGGAGCAAAAAAATTGTGTTTTCATGCTCAAACATAAACACTAAATTAAGTTTGGTATAATCAAATGAATACAAACATTACTTATATCTTTTTTAAGACAAAATAAGTCATTTTTCCGTTAATGAGTCCCAATTGATTTTTTCGATCAGAAAAACTTAAGCTGAAAACGTTCAATAAAGTTTTCTACGCTCCTGCTTATGAACTGCAGCTGGAAAAACTGGAAAAACGATTTTTATCTCGAATAAAAACTTAAAACTTGTTTGTTTCAAATAACTAAATGACTGAAAACATATAGTCTTTAATAGAATTTTCTACTCTCATGCTTATGACTGCAGCTGACAAAAACTGGAAAGCGGTTTTATCTCGAATAAAAAGTGAAAACTAAATGATTTTTGGAAACGAAACCAAACTGATTTTGTTTTGTTTAAAGGGAAATTGATTGAGGTAGCAACACGTCGCGCTTTCGCACGTTTCAGCCGGCTTTCTCACGTTTCAGGCGAATTAGGATAGTTTCAGGCGGCTAACGGATGACTACTCAATTGCAATTTTTCATGAAAAGACCATGTTGGCTGCCCAATTTTTCAATGGTCAAAAATAAGCTTTGAAAGCTTATATTTTTTTATAATCTCTGTGCCATCTTTTTTATAATCTATATAATCTAAAATATAAAACTTTTTTTATCTATATAAATTAATATAGAAAAAGTTCAATGGCTCAAAACTGAAATTTTTCGAGGTTGCGAGTCTGCAAAAAATGTTGCGAGACTCAACATTTTCACACAGAGGCGAAGCCGCGTTTCGCAAACACTTGCGAGATCACGACCAAAAAGCAGCTTTATCAGGTGAAGTAAGAAAAAAAATAAACCTCGAATTAGCAAAAACTCGGCTACATAGTGGATTAAATATGCGACCTACTGCAGTCAAGATATTTTGAGTCGCACGCACTATCCACTCAGCCACGCAAGCTGAACAATCGACAAACACTAGTCACGAATATAGCAGCTACTGTGGCACCAACTACAAATAGACTCAATTGTGCATGTAATAACTTGGAATATAACAAACTGAAGGCATCCACACTAGCTTTGCATGTAACAAATCGCAAAGCCACATTATGTATAAATCATGCGTTTCAAAAAAATGTGAGATTCATTGAGTTAGAAATTTTCTGAAATCGAGTTTTCATTATTGCTATTTTGTTTGAAACAAATGTTGTTCATGCTAATAAACTCGCTTTGCAAGATAAAGAAGGGTTCTTATAAACAAATGGGTTCGTTGTAAATTATCGATAAAAAGTCAAACTATCCAGACCACTCATTAATTTTGCTTTTGCCCCAAGATTTCAATATTCCAGGAGCAATTTTTTATTTCTAAATTTTTGTATAAGCGAAAGCAGGTAGGCTTAAAAACATTGAGCACTATCGATGATCATGGTATACCGTTCTGAAGCTGATTGATTGTTACGTTTGTTTTTGATGGCAGAAATCTAGTTCTTAGAACTGCTGTCAATCATGGTTGATCTTTATCGAAACACTTTTAAATATTTCAAAACTTCAAGGCAACAATGTGATCTCTTTCACCAATAAATCGAAAATCAATCATCCTCCTAACTAAAAAGGAAAATTAATAGGACTCTCTTGATTTTTTGGTGATGTTTTCTTGGGCAGTTTTGACTACGTCAAAACTTGTGAAGTTAAGTGTTGTTTCTGCACTTCACTAATGAGCCCAACATTCATTTTAACGGGGAAAAGTCTAGTACTTGTTGCGATACCTTCGAGTATCGCTAAAAAGACCAGATTTTGCTTGCGCAGTGATTTCATACTGCTGTTCAACAGAGGAGTTTACAATAAAGCACGCCCCAAACTCTAACTCACTGCTTTCAAACAATTGGAAGAAAATTCAGTTTTAGATTACTCTTAGGAAACTTTTTGACTATAAACTCTAATAAATAATGTGATTGAGCGTACGGAACGAGATTTTTTTAAAATCCATAATCCAGCGCCCGAAGTGCTCGACTGATTCGACTTTTTTGAATTTTTGAGTCAAACGGGGTCCGTTTTCGACCTGACCAGACATTGTTTGACTTTACCGGACATTTTTCGACTTTAATCGAGTTTGTCCGACTTTACCCGACGTTGTCCGACTTAACGGAAAATGCTCAATTTTGTTCGAAAATTTACATTTTAACCTTTCTTGTTCAGTTTTAGCACCCGGATTGAGGTCACGGTTAACAGATCGCTGTAGCTATCTACCGATCACGTTGATTAACGCAAAAATGTCTTCTAATTTATTCATTTCAAAGAATGCGCGCTATATATACTGCTGAAGAAAACTGTTTATACCGAATAGCTATTTTATCCCGTTGATAGCGTACAGTTTTAATCAAAAGTAATTAGATCAAATTACCTTGCTCTGGAAGTCAATTTCTGAAAAAAAAACGCTTTTCCCCCTAAATCGATTGGGGGGGGGGGGGGGGGGGGGTGATTGTACAGTTGATCCAAAATCATTAGCAAGCGCATTCAATTCCAGTAAGCCATACCCAATTTTAGAGCTCTTTCAAGACATCCTGACCCATTAACATTTGTTCGTTTATGTTGCAGTGATACTGAGAACTAAAGACACTTATTCTTTTGTAATAAGAAGTCAATGCCACCTTTCATTTTTGTTGTCGGATTGCAGAGTTTGCGATCCACTTGGAAAATGAGATTTGACTGCTGCAGTCAAATTATAACTCACTAGCAAATCATTGATCTACTAAAATGCAAACGTCGGGGTGCACGGGGGATTTTGTTTTCATGGACAGTTTAGTTTTTCTAGAAATTGTTTAAGGCTCAAACAAAAAGCACTCGCATCCAAGTTTAGGCGTAAGTAATCGATTATAACGGATTATTATGATGATTTTTTGACAATTATAATTACCAAAATTAGGTCTTTAAAGGATTTATAATTGATTATAATCGTGATATTTTCCAAGAGATTATAATCTCTTATAATTGATTATGGTTCTTACTAAAAACCCTTAAAATCAATTATAATCGATTATAATGGATTATAATCTCTTATTTTGCCGAAATTTTTCAAATTCGAATTATATCTTATGGGTTGTTATTTTTGTATCAATAAGAAAATCTCTAAAAGAGAGATCTTTTGAACACTTTGGTTCATCTGAAAACAAAGTTTTACCACGAAACAAAAGTTTCATAGAGATCCTTTCATATGAGTGAAAAGGTTCTCGCGGTAGATAAAACATAAATTTTCCGAATCAATCTTGAAACTAAATCAATTTGCTGATGTTTTGGTGTTTAAAAAAGCTTAAAATATGCATCACAAAACAACTCTAATGGGGAAGAAATGAAACAAAAACTTATAAATTTGAATTAATTGGAAAACTTCAAAAATATTTATCTCATTTTTCATAGGAACCAACGTCCACAAAAAGCATAAAATATAAGCAATTTAGATGAAACTTCGAAGACAAAAATGGACAAACAAAAGGGATTATAATCAATTATAATCGATTATAATGGATTTTTGTGCAAAACTATTGAAATAGAAATTTGAATAAAAATAATGGATTATAATCAATTATAATCGATTATAATTGTATCGAAAAACAGACGAATAATTAATCGATTATAATGGATTATAATTAGTTACAATTTGATTTTAAAAAGAAATTATAATCGATTATTAATTGATTAAAATCGGTTGTTTCTATTTTAGTGAGACTGGTACTAAAATCGTAATATAATCGATTATTAACGCTTGAAACTGGATGCGGGCAAGTTCAGTTTCGGTTAATAGGTAAATTTTATTCCGCTGAGAAATCTGAAAATTAAAATCCATTTTTGGAATATCAAATCATACCAGTTTTTGTTTCATTTTAACTTTCGTTCCAAAGAAGCGTAATTTGCCTTAATTTTACTAAATGGATTCGAATTGAACTTTAAAAAATAATAATTTGAACGTAAAATTTATTGAAGACTTGTTTTTGGAAAAAAACTAATAAACACCACGACCCAAACAAATAAATTAATAAAACGCAAATCATCTCAAACTGCAAAGCTCGAACAGAGAATTGAATCATGTATGCAAACTTGATATCAAAAAGTTATCTTGAGCAAAGGAAAGTTCTATTCCGGCTAACCTTTGACGCTAATACTTCTAACTTTTGGATTCACTTGAATTGGATTCACTTTCGCTTTTCTGAGAACTAAAAGTTATATTCCGCGCACCCATGCATGGGGAGGGTAAGGTAGGGTCAGTAGCGGCTGTATAAACAGCGCGTCGGGTCCACCACTTGAAAGCAGACTTTCTGGACCCTAATATTTATATTCGTTACTTCTAATCAGATGCGAAGCTGCACTTCGCAAGCAGGCAAAAAGTAGCTCAAAAAAGGTTTAAAAAGAGAAGTAAAAAAAATACGAAAACTTTCGTCAAACACTAGTGACCAAAATAGCAGATACAACAGATGCTAAATGATTGCCAGTGCTATGCCAGCAAAATCGCCACTGAATGAGCAATATTATTTGCGAGTTGGGTTGAAAAAGTGGACTTCGTAATATGACACTACAATCGCTAGCTTGATTGTGTATACAAAAAGTGGTAACTATCTACATTAAATTAATTGCGATATAATGGAACAAATTTTTTAAGCATTCGCTTGTATAATTGCAAGTACCAGAGGTCAACAAACAACTTTATCGATTATCAGCAATCAAGAATACAATTCATAAATACAGTCATCAGGCATCAATAATTAGTTCCAACCTTTAAGTAAAAATCTTCCGACAATCAAGTTTAAAATAAACTCAAATCCCGGTATAAAAAATTTCTAATTTCTTCCTGCTTCAATTTTTCAGCCTTTCATTTCAAAAATGCTATCTTAAGCAAAAATTTAAGCATAGCAGGGGTTTTAACTTGCCATGCTTGACTGAAAATCATTTCAAGCTATTTACTGATTTCCTTTTAACCTAGTCGGTTCAGTTTAATTTACTTCGTTTGAGGTATTCTCATGCGAAAGCTTTCTCAGGTGCATTTTTAAGATTCTCTTCAATGGCTTCCAGAACTTTCAGAGCTGCCATTGGGATTCTGGTGCCTGGGCCAAATACTGCAGCACAGCCTGCTTTCATGAGAAAGTCGTAATCTTGAGGCGGTATTACTCCCCCACAAACTATGACAACATCGCCCCTGCCCGCCTTTCGAAGCTCATCTGCTAGCTGAGGAATCAAAGTCCTGAATAAAATTCATCTCAAGCCAATTTTTAAACTACTCTCAGTTTATGATGATATGTTTATGAGAAGCTGGCCAATATGTACTTCTTTAAAAAAAAAGATATTTACAACTTTTTTTGAAACTGCACAAGATTATTTATGGTTTTCAGATACATAGGAGTTATTCAATTACACGCAGAAAAAGAACCCGTTACCGTCTAAAACGATTTGTTTAGGCAACGTGTGAGGCGGAACTACTTACTTGTGTCCCGCGGCTTGACTGGACACGCCCACGCAGTGAACATCAGCATCCACCACCTGCATGGCCACCTCTGCTGGAGTCTGGAACAGGGGACCCACGTCCACATCATATCCCAGGTCAGCAAACCCAGTCGCAATCACCTGCAGAGTTAAGAGGAGCGGAGAATATTGAGATATCATTAGAGCAATTCCATTCCATCAACAAGGGAATGAATGACAAATGTGCACGCTGTTCATCTGTTAATTACAGCTGCCCCCCAAACAAACGCCGACGATAGCATGCACCAATTTCTTCGTTGTAGCTTATCGACAGGACAATTGTTTATGCAAATGAAAACCCATAAATACATTTTTCAAAAATCTGCCAAACAATTCTGTAACAATTCAATATCACATGATTTAACAGAATATATTTTTAAAGCTTATCGAATGACCAGATCTATGCATGTAAACTGCTATTTTAAACAAATTAGTAGATCGCTCAAAAAAACTTTTCCTAGGAATTACTTTTGCCGAATTTTTAAGCCTACACTCACCTTTCCCCCTCTGTCATGTCCGTCCTGGCCCATCTTTGCCACCAAAATTCGAGGCCTCCTTCCCTCTTTCTCCGCAAACTCATCAATACGACTCATTACAGCACTTATCTCATCTTCATATCCAAATTCTGTTTTATACGCTCCAGAGACCAGTCTGTCTGCCGCTTGGTGTCGACCGAACACTGATTCCATTGCATTGGATATCTCTCCTAATGTTGCTCTCAACTTAGCTGCTTTTACGCATGCTTTGAGTAAATTGGCTCCTGATTTACAAGCTTCTGTTATTTCGTTTAGCGCTTCCATACACGCTTCACTGTCTCTCTCGGCTTTGATTTTGTCCAGTTTCTCAATCTGCGATGACCTTTAGCATACAGACCAAGTCAAATTAACTTTGAATAATTTGAGACCTAACGAACGCCACTACCGAGCTAGCTGAAGTTGAACTTTTCAAAAACTACTTGCCACAATTTAGAAAGTAACTAAAGCTCAGACTCCCATTATAAAAAAAACTTTTGAGAACTAAGACCGATCAAGGTAACTTGAAGTACTAAACCCCACCTTACACATTCAGACAAAACTCTTAAATCCAAGGATATTTTGATATTGGCACGTTTTTTGATGAGTGTAACTCAAGAAAAAACTGGGTCAATAGTTTACATTTTTTTATTCCGCTGAAAAATCTGTTAATCCATTCGAAGCAAAGGTCACTCACGTTTCTTCTCGCCATTTGCTTCTCGGAGTTAAAGAAAGCGATTTTCCTTCCTTTCAGCAGAAGAATTTGATTTTGTTTGACTTTAAAAGATCAAAATAGAATAAAAATTTGAAGGAAATAAAGTTGATTGAAATTAAACAAATCAAAAGTCAAACCGCAAAAAAACTTCAAATTTGAAAGTGATCAAATTTAAGACTTTTCCAGAAAACACCGCGCGACCTGAATAAAAGTCTTCATTTCGAAAAAGTTTTCACGTAATGGCAAAAAAACCAAAGCAATTCAAAATTTTCAACATAGAGGTAAAGCTGCGCTTCGCCAACACTAGCGAGAAAACGACCAAAAGCAGTTCTATTAGATGAAATAAGAAAAATTAGAATAAATTAAATTTAAAAAACTCCAATAGACATTATCAATGACATTTTAATTTAATTTCATAGTCAATAAATTTTGTCTCCCTAGCACCAACTAAGCCACGAATTTAAAAAAAACTTTCTCTGTGTGTCAGATTCAAACCATTATGAGCGGTAAACACTAGCCACAAATAAAGCCGAACAGATTGTATGAACTTCCAATGCTACAAATTGTGACAAAAGATAAACTGGAACAAAAAATTTTGCAAAAAGCAAGATAGAAATGAAAAAAAAAAAAGATAACTGAAAAAAATACGTCAGTTGGACTGATCAAAAGACTTTTTTGATATAATACCCAATTACGCCGACATAATTCAAGCCCGAAATTAAAAAGCTTTGGCATAAAAATTTGTGGATAAGAATATGTACTGGGTAAAAATCAGTCGTTGTAGCTTTGGTATACAGTGCTGATTTGAATAAACCGGACAAAACGAACAAAATTCAAACGCGTTTTTCTAAAATTGGGTTAAGATTAGACGAAACGCGAGGAGAACAAAATTTGCTTAAATTTGCATCAGAGTAAATATGGTGCAATTTTTTCTCCGAAATTCTCAACCAAAATTTTACTTTGGCTTTTTTAATTAATCAAGAATTACGCTGAACTATCACCGATTTATATCACAAGAAGCCTCTCCCACATTCCAACAATTTTCTACAACAATTAAATCTCCAAAAACCTGTATAAGAGGAAAGATTTTCGCTTGATAGTCAAGAAATGTGATTTTTACTACATAAAACCCAAAATTTGTTCAAAAACAAATTTTAAGCGAATTGCGCAAATTTTTTGGAGATTTAACCTTACTACAACTTTGTTGGGATGAGTAAGAGTCTTCATGCGATATAGTTTTCTTATCTATTAAATAAATAGTTTCAGTGTAGGTCTTGATTAATTAAAAAAAAAAGCCAAAATGACCCATTTTTGGGGTAAAATTTTGGTTGAGTATTTCAGAGAAAAAATTAATATTTATTCTCGTGAAATTCTAAGCAACTTTTGTTCTGTTCACTTTTTGTCTAATCTCAACCCAATTTGAGAAAAACGCGTTTGAGAAATTAAGTTTTGCACGTTTTGTCCGATAAATTTAAATCAGTACTGTACTACTAAGGTAGGTAAGACAACGGATGAGAAAGCAGCAGTGGAGAAAAATAATTTAGAAAAGTTGTTAACCGAGTAGAAAGTCTAGTTCCCGATTATTAAACAGTTGCAATTGTCCCCATTATTAAACAGTTGCAATCGTAAGTCAAACCAGATTAAATCTGCGAAAAGTTAGCAACGAACAAGCTCACTGGCTTTTTGTGACTTAGATATTGAGCATCTGATTCAGAAATAATTTTTGGTTGTACCTGACTTTGGTGTTGTCTATCTGGAGTATCTCTATGCTCTGTTCGTCCTCCAGTTTGTACTTGTTCACTCCTACTATAGTCTCTTGTCCTGAATCTATCCTCGCCTGTCTCTTGGCTGCCGCTTCTTCAATGCGCAATTTCGGCATACCTTAAAATAATAGTACACAATTCTCGCAAGCTGGCTCGTGTAAACAAAGAAAAACAAACAACAGTTTTGAAGAAAAACATCATCGTACAATAGGAGCGGATCTAGGATTTTCTTGAGGGGGCGGATTTTTAAAAAATAGAAAATATTGTCGGCCTTTTGCTGGTCAATCAAATAAATTTTCTGAGCTCTCCCGAATCACTATGAAGACCCGATTTTGAGCACATTCACTGCAATTAGTTTTTCAGAAAACGCAGGCCAAATAGTCGCTTTTGGGAATTTTTTGGAAAAAGTAGACAAAAATCCTGTTTTTCGCGTTTTTGGGCGCGCGCGTACTCCAAAATTAGTATCTGTTGGCACCACAAGGCGCCTTGCATAAAAATTTTAGGGTCGGTCAGCTAAATTGGATGTCTAAAAATAGTTCCAAAGAGGGACCCTCTGGGTCGAAACCCTGAGAGGCAGGGGGCGTCCCAACCCCTAAACCTACCCCTGCCTACATCTCTTGAATTTCAAGAAGCTTTCGTGGCTGACACAATTAAAGATCATTGTATCAATGGGTAACTTTGGGCCGGGAAATCTTAAATTTATAAAGTTGAAAGTAGAAGTCGAGCACGTTTTTCAGACAATAGCTTTTTTGTTTACCGAGAGCACAGTTGGTGAAGTAAGCTTACAAAAAACAGTCCAAGCGCCAAATTTTGAAGCTTTTCCAAAAAAAAAAACAACACGACCCAAATAAAAATTCACTTAGTTCAATAACACTTAAAAACAAAATATGTATCAGGATTCCAAAAAATCTCCTAACTCATCTGATTATTTTAGTTCCGACTTTTGAAAAAAATGCATAATATTTATGCTTTGGGTGATTTTTTAATCAGTCAAATTTCCACATTTTGACAAAACCGGCTTTTTCTAAACCATCCGAAAGATATTGTTGCCCTAGGCTCAAACTAAACACAGAGGCACAGTTGCACTTCTCAAACAAAAACGAGAAAACGGCGAACTGTAGCTCTGCAAAGATAAACAAGAATTGATAAAAATAAGCCTTCAATAATAAAGTTAACTATAATAATAAATTTGAAATAATAACGCAAGCGTAAAAGGCCGAATTGTGTATAAATTACAAAAATTTAGCGAATTAGATTGAATTGGAAAATTTCTGGAATGTAGTTGTTTAATTGTACTGTTGCATGAAAAAAAATAGCTTTTTCCGTTTTATTTAATGAATTAAATGCATCAACTAAGTTACCTTATTACGGATCGAATATGAATGCACACGCTATTAAACTACCCGAGCAGTCTGCTTCAAAAGTGCCACCAAAAGTAGTACTAATATTTGCGACTTAGGTTGGAAAAAAGAACAAAGATGCATTGTACTAAAACACTACGCTGCGCGTTCGTGAAAAGATATTTTATCTGTGATCAATTGGGCTAAATAACATGCTATTTTTTTGTTCTATTAAAAAGTAAGCCGCCAAATAAATCCTTCCAAATTGAACTTCGGCAAACAATTTGCTCCTATTGTTAAGTTACCACACGCAAAAAAAAATCAGTTCTTTGGCTTGTTTATAGGCGGAGGGGGTATAAAGTTTACAAAAAACATATGAAAAAAATCTTCTTTGTTCCGAATATATTTTTAGAACTACTTTTAAAATTAAAAAGCTCGCGATGGACGACAGAAGGCAGAACATTCAACGGCAGGCGGAAAATTCAACGATTTTCTCTGATACACTGCTCATTACCTGCGTACATCATCGAGTTGCATGAGTGCAATTGGACCCTTCATTTTTTTCTCCAGGAAGTCAGCTGAAACTCTATGAGAACCGAGATCGTTTAAGCGTCGTTTCAAGGCGATACAAAGTCTGAGCAATTTAAAACTTGAAATCCCAGAGTTTAATTTAAGATTTTCTCAGCGTACCTATTTGAAGCTCTTGGCGCACGTACAACAGCCATCTAATTATCACCATCATGCTAGGCATATGAAAGTGTTTCTTTAAGAGGTAATTTTTAGTAAACTTCAACTTGGAGCCATAAAGTGAAATATAGCTATCAAATGCAACTATGCATGAAAGCATTATACTACGTCATAGGAGAGGGGCAACTGATAGATTCCAACTGACAAGATTTTCCATCGTATCGCTGATACGAAGTTATCGGCTGATATCCGACAAAGTTTGCGATCACATGCACACAACGGGTATCGAGCCACTTTTTCCTGTTGTTTTTCTTCCATCCTTCCGTTGAGCTTTCAGCAATTCCAAAGACGAAAACAAACTGTGCGATTTTGTTTTTGGTACAACCTCTCCCATAGAAAAATAGAAAGCTCTTTGGATTTCATAACAATTTTTGGTTGACACTTTTTTTCAATTAATTAACTTAATTAGATAAAGCATGAATCAATGGATAAACTTTGCTTCCTGTTTGCTGTTCGATAGTGGACTTTGACCTTCTTTTAATACAAGAAAAGAACTAAAATTGAAAACAAACAAAAAAAACAAACCGCAAAAAAATCAAAATTGTTCCTGAATAAAAAAAATATCAAGACGTATCTAGGTAAACATAGTTATCAGAGAAGTTGGAAAACAAGAAAACCAAAAAAAAGTTGAGTTTTTTAAACATTTTCATCTTTTGAGTTTCAAAGAAACATCGTATATCATTGAAGATCTTTTAATTTCAAATACTGCTTATGAGTGGCCTTTTTTCGTTAATAAGTAATTTTTTATTGCGTTGGAAATTCAGAAAAACAAATTCCAGTGGTTTACGTTTTTGTGACCTTTTCAATTTTGCAGTAGGATAGTGGAGTTTGTCTTCCTTTTCACAAAGGAAATGAACTGAAGTTAAAAAGAATCAAACGTCAAATAGCGAAAAACCAAAATTGAGCGTAAACAAATGTTATGACTTTTTTCTGAAAAAATAACACCAAGACCTATATAAGTCTTCACTGCATGCATTACTTTAAAAAACACAGAATCTACCGGCCACAAAACTGCTATCAGCCATCAGACACTTGGAAAAAAGTCAATAAACACAAGGAAACAGAAAAAAAAACCGACTTATTCTTTTTTGAATAACTTCAACTTTCGAATTTCAAAGTTAAAATATCAGGGTTTAACCTATAAATTTCAAGACGATTCTATTATTAATATTTTTTTTTGAGAAAATTAACTCAATTTGAGAAAACTGGATCAAATGGTAAAGTTTTTAGTCCGTTGGGAAATATGCAAACGAAAGCCCACCTTCGTAATTAGAAGCCGTTCACGTTTTTGCGCGCCATTTGCACATTCGTGTTTAAAGAGTGCAATTGACCTAACATTTAGCAAATGGACTTCAATTGAACTCTTAAGTGTATTCATAAACGCAATAATATGTATGAATGCACGTCTGTAGTTACTAGAGCATTTTAAGACTTTTCTTAAAATAAACACCAAGACCTATATACGAATCTTCACTAGGTTCATCGACTCTTACAAGAAATTTAAGCGCCAAGTCGACGTTCAAAAAGTTTCATAAGGTGAATAAGATGAAAAACTGCCTCGACCCCAACGAGTTTTCCTTGAGGTACCTTAAGTTAAGCAAAACACCCCACGCTATAACCCTTGTTGGGGATTGGGGTGGTTTAAACAATTTAAATTTTTATTGGTTCATATACACTGCTCATTCTCGGTTAATTTATACTGGAAATAAGTTCTAAGCTCCATGATTATTTTCTCACCTGACGCCACTGCCTTGGACATGCCGCCCATGGCCTCTACTTCCTCAATCACCTCCTTTGCCTTGTTGTAGATATCCTCTGTAAGCTGCTCCACGTAATAAGATCCGCCCAGTGGGTCTGCTACTTTGGTGATACCTGATACAATTAAGGCTCCCAAATCAACAGAAACAAACAACTAGCTGACCTCAGAACGTAATTGATCCAATCTGTCAGCACCTAATCTAAGTACCGTTTGCTTTCCTTTTGAAACCTCACTTCGGTGTACTTTGAAAAGAAATATGGTAATTGAAATCACCACAAATCAGTTAAGGCCCTTTTAAAAAATATACACATTTGCATTTTCACACTTTTTTTTAAATTATTTTGAAGAAAAAAAAATGAGAATGGCCATGGATAACCTGTCTCTTCCTGTAGCATGATCTGCGTGTTCCTCGCGATGCGAGCACTAGTCACAGAAGGAAGAGCCAGTGCTTCGTCGAATGAGTTTGTGTGCAGAGACTGAGTTCCTCCCAGCACTGCAGCCATAGCCTGTCAGAAATACTCTTGATCAACGATTATTTACTTTTAAATTGAAGCAATGACTGTATCAGCTTTTGAACAGAGATCATCAATATTTCTAAGCTCTTATATTATAAATTCATCGGTACCCATGAATTTATAGAAGGCTACGGGAATTAAGCCGACACAAATAAACAGACGGATGATAGTCCGAAAACGCACAAAATAGCAAAAAAAAAGTCCCCCGCCGGATTCTAACCAGAAGCTTATATCTCAAGCAGGTGCGTTACCTCTACGCCAAATGGTTGATTCAGGCTGCTCAAATCGGTCAGAGAAAAAAGTGACCTACCATTTTTAGAGTCTCTGCCTTAAGAAAGGTCGTTAAAATTTTCGAATTTTTGAAAATCCGCCCCTCCTCTCCCCCCCTCCCTCGATAAAATCCTAGATCCACCCTAAAAAAAGTCGTCAAAATTTTCGGAAATTTTTTGAAAATCCGAACCCCCCCCCCCTCGAGAAAATCCTAGATCCTTTTTTAGTCCAATAATCTTATCTGGAAAAACTCTCGACAATTGTTACGATTCCCTTGATATACACAACAGTTTCAACAAAAAGTGACTTAGAAAAAATAAGTGACCAAAAAGTGACCAAAAGTGACCAGTTTGAGCAGCCTCGGTTGATTGAATTTGAATTTACAATTAAATAAATGTATGAGTGAGTCCATAATGCAGGCGGTGAGTCCTGTAAGCAAAGATACTTACGGGGAAAAAAAGTCTAGTACCCAATTGCAGTACCCTTGCTTATCGCAAGGGTAATAATCATACGTGTTTTTACACTTATTGAAGCAATGACAGCTTAATTGGTCCTGTTTAGAAGACACGGACGACTGACCTAACCTCAATGGTTGTGCGGACGATGTTGTTGTATGGATCCTGTTCAGTGAGTGACCATCCGGATGTCTGACAGTGAGTTCTCAACAGAAGACTCTTCTCCGACTGGGGACTGAAGTGTTCTTTGACCAACTCCGCCCACAGTCTCCTGGCTGCTCTCATCTTCGCCACTTCCATGAAGAAATTCATCCCAATTCCCCAAAAGAACGAAAGCCTGAACAAAATTAGACTAAACTTGAAACTACCGACGAACAGGCTATTTGAGCAGACACCATTTGACAAGAATTAGACTAATAAGCATTCTTTTGATCAAGTTTTTTATTAGAGAAGCCTATATTTGCCTAATTCTTTAAATCAAACCAGCAGCGGCATGAATTCCGTCATTAACGATTTTAGCATTAAGCGAGACCTAGTTCCATTCGATTTTCATTGAGCTGTTCGTACGAACTACATTCCATATGATACACTGCATAGATATACATTTTTACGCAAAGGCGAAGAGGAGCTTCGCACACTTTGCCATACATATAAAAATAGCATTGTAAGCTAGCAGACAGAAAAAAAGAGAGCCACTAAAACAAAAAAAAGAGAAAAAATTCGAAAAAACCACAACCAGAAAAATTCAAAAAGATGTCTGAAATGATGCTCTATTTGCGGAAATCACGTACAATAAAACAATAGACGACGTTTAATGAAACTTCAAAAACAATTATCAAGAGGCAGCTGAGCCGGAAAACCTTGGGTAAACTCTCGTAGAACTGAAAACATTGAACTTTAATGTGTATTCTATAATTGTAAGCATTTTAAGCAATCCAGAGGGGACCATAAAAACTACCTTTCCCATGAAACTATAAGAAATTAGTCACTAAGCCGATAAAATATATGCCGAAATCATTTGGTCCCGGTCAAATTCGAACCATCGTCCTTTTCCTTCTCAGGCGAATTCAATACTTCCAGACCAAGTGGCCGAAAAAACTGTCAAATTTGAATTCATCATAAAGAAAGATATCAAGTGAAAGATATCAAGTTGTTAACCCGAAAAAAATTCTATATTCCGATTTGATAACGCTTGCTAATTGCAAGCGTAAAAATTTGTGTCATTATCAATTCAAGTTTTTCTAGAAAGAAGAGAAAACCCTCATGTTGTACCTTGGTGCAAAATTGTCAATGGATAGACCTGCCTTCAGACCTGTCCTACAGTACTCGATTCCATCTGCAATTGTAAATGCCACTTCCAGCACAGCATCGGCGCCAGCCTCTTGCATGTGGTAGCCAGATATGGATATAGAATTAAACTTGGGCATATTCTCTGCTGTGTAAGCTATGATGTCACCTATGATTCGCATCGAAGGTTCCGGAGGGTATATATACGTATTGCGCACCATAAACTCTTTCAAAATGTCATTTTGAATTGTGCCGGACAGTTTCTCCTTTGGAACGCCACCTTCCTCGCCAGCTGCTATGAAGAACGCCAAAACTGGCAGCACAGCGCCATTCATTGTCATAGAAACTGAAATTTTGTCCAATGGGATCCCATCAAAAAGAGCTTTCATGTCTTCGACTGTGTCGACTGCGACTCCCGCCATGCCAACGTCACCGAACACTCGCTCATTATCCGAGTCGTACCCTCTGTGAGTCGCCAAATCGAAAGCCACAGACAAACCCTGCTGACCCGATTTGAGATTATTGCGGTAGAATTTATTACTTTCTTCAACGGTACTGAATCCGGCGTACTGTCTAATAGTCCAGGGTTTGTTGGTGTACATGGTCGGGTAGGGACCCCTAGTATAAGGATACTTTCCAGGAAGTTCACAAGTTTTTTCAGCTCCCGATTCGGCAGTGCCATCATTTGCTGTGTAAAGAGGTTTAACTGTGATGCCTTCAGGCGTATGCCAAAAAAGATTTTCGACTGGCTTTCCTTTCAATTGTTTTTCTGCCAGAGAAACCCATTCTTGGTTCAAACTGCTTCTATCGATACTGGCCACTTTTGAGGTAGAGAAACACTTTTTGGAATAAAAGCTGCCGCAATATCTGCACGCTATCTCCTTGGAAAAAGTCGATAGCTGAGAACTTCTGACTATCATATTGCAATCTAAAAAGCGTTAAGTTATACTTTTCACTGGACTGGACTCAAAAATAGGAAAACGTATAGAAACTCGTGAATAATCTTTAATATCTTCAAATACGCACGGCTGCCGTGCGATACCCATACTATTCTGATATAGTATTCATTTTTTCAAAAAATATCTGAGAAAAACGAAAATGAAAATTTGTTTTCGAAGATATGTTTTTGGGGAATGGCGGGCCTCAGATTTCTGTTTCTTTCACTTTTTTTAAAATTTTAGTGTGAATGTAATTCAAGCACAGCAGTGCGATTTCAAGTATAATTTGATAACATAATTCTATAACATAACTAAAAATTTCACTTTCAAATCGCAGTGCTCTGCTTGCAAATACTTTCAAATACATTGCAAATATTTTCAAATTTCACTTTCAAATACATTGACACCAAATTTTGAATTTCAGTTCAGTTTACAGCGAGTCGCTTACTCGCTTATAAACTGAACTTCAGTTCAGTTATACAGCGAGTCGCTTACTCGCTTATAAACTGAGTCGCTTACTCGCATCTTACTCGCTTATAAAACACTACCTTTAGTCAAATTAGGCCTATATAAGTCTCTTCTTATTCCAATTCTGATATATGGACTTTCATGTACAAATCTTAGCCGAGGAGATCTTGTACGCCTGGAGCGCTTCCAAAAGAAAGTCACAAAATGGACAGTAACAAGCCCGGATACATACTATGTTAACCAGCTGCGAGCACTAAATGTGCTCCCACTACCAATGTACTTACAACTCACGGATCTACTGCTACTCTCTAGCCTTGATGGACGAACTGATGTGTTTCCACATCTATCACAGTGCCCGCAGACAAATCTCAGAACTAAGGACGTCTTCAAGAGTGCCAAAATCAGAACAGAGAATGCGCTAGGGGAGTTCACAATACGTACCAGTCGAATTGCAAACAGAATTGACAAACACGTTGATTTCACAAACAAAACTGGACTCAAGAACCGAATCCTACAACTGATGTGGAATTTCATGGATGAAAAGTACAACGAAAACAATATTTGCACTTGGCAACTTGCGTGCGATTGCAACCAATGCAGAAATAAAGTGACAATCTTCTAATAAAAACGGAAAGGGAGCAACACCCATCAGCCTTGTGCTGTAAATCCACTACAACAACAACAACAACATACCACACACAAATAACAACAAAAAAAACTAGCCTACCCAACGCAGCAAAACTACTTCGAGAAACATCGCTCTTGCAAAAATCCTACTAAGTAACGCATTGAAATTTTATTAGCCATTTAATGCGAATGGATGAATTATAATTTTTAGGAACTTTAACCCTCTTCTTTCATCCAAAAAAAATATTTTTCGAAACAAATCGCTTTAGGTTTCTGAATATAGCAAAAAGAAAAATCAATTTTGTACTGCTGAATTTGAAATTCTCAGTTCTATCGTTTTCAGTTAAAAAAAGTGATTTGCCTTCATAAATGGAAATGGGTACCAATAGCAGCATTTTGAGAATAAATCTCACGCTTTCGCATCCAGGGTCCTCTGGAGTAGTCTGAAACTGCTGCTAAAACCATTCAAAAATATTTCACTTGCAAGAGTACCAGGTTTGAGATTAACCAATTAAAAAGACTAACCTACTACTGCTCAATACTGGGTGCCGGACATCAAGCCGACGGGACTTCAAGCCGAATCGTTAAATTAGGGACTTCAAGCCGAAAATTTTCTCATTAAGTAATGAAATAAGGTTAATTTGAAAACTTTTTTAAAGAATTTCTCAATTTCATGATCTTTAATCGGTAATTATTCGCGTTTTCACGAAATTGAAACCTCCAAATGAAGTTCAGGAAAGTTGAAAAATAAAACACGGTTGAAGGTAATTTTCTTGTTTATAATTTATGCATTTCAAAAAACGGCTGATATTATTAACTAATGCCAATCCTAAGTAATTCATTGTCATAAATAACGCTTATTATGGACTGAACTAGCCTAAGATTTTGAAAAGAAACGTTTTACAGATGAAAAATTAATGATTTGAGGCGCTTGTAAAGTTTAATTTTCGGCCTGAAGTCCCTTCGGCTTGAAGTCCCGTCGGCTTGTTGTCCTAGACCCCTCAATACTAACTGCTTAAACCTGGTGATATACTAGACAGACGCACCGAAATAAATAGCAGATTGATAGATGAAGATAAACAAATCACCATCTTCAAAAAGTCTTTATAAATTGAAGTTTTTTCTCAGAAGTTTTGATGAAACCCCATCCTGAAACAAATTTAAAACCCTACTGATGCTCCAATGATTAATTATGCGTAAATTATTTAGCAATAGCCAAAATTTAGAAGATATTTTAGATATGGCGAGATAGCTCTTTTCTTAAACATATACAAAGTTTACGTTGATGAAGCTTAAACATCGCGATATAGTGAGAGACATGTTTAAACACATACTTGATTACAGGTTTCTTTATCCAGCCTTTCTTGAACTCAGATTTGTGGCCATTATTATCGTCACTAATTCTGTTTCTGCAGTTTTTAACAAGCCAAAAAACTCGATTAAATTGATAAAAAACCCATGAGATTATTGATGATCTGCGAAGATTCGTCCTCGAGTGGACCAATTAGCACAATAGCACTTGCAAAACAAAACAAGGATGCGGCTACGTCGAAAGAAACCTAGATATATCGAAATGACTTAGCCCAGTCTTGAAACAAAAACGTGCCAAGACGATAATAGATAAAACTAGCATTGAAAAAAAATTAATCAAGCGGTAACAAAGCCGAAAATTCCTTAGCAGAAACCATTTAAGCCGAAAACGATTCAAAAAAAATGTATTAATTCCCCCTCACCCTCACATAAACTTTATTCGCTGGTCAAATGAGACAATATGATGCCACTAAGCTGATAGAGTATTGGATGAAACCTATTAAGTTGAAAAATTGTTTTTAAAAAAAGCTGAAAATTCAAAAAATGTATTAAGTCCCCCACACCCTCATCACACACATAAACTTTATCCGCTGGTCAAATGAGACAATACGAAGCCACTAAGCTGATAGAGTATTGGATGCCCTACGCAGCGAAACTACTTCGAGAAACACCGCTCTTGCAAAAATCCTACAAAGTAACGCATTGAAATTTTAATAGCTATTTAATATTCAAACCTATTAAGTTGAAAATTTTTTTTAAAAAAGCTGAAAAAAACTCAAACAAAAACTTAAGGTTAGTAAAACATTAATAAATCCCCCACACCCTCAAAGCCTACATACAAAAACAACTTTTCCGCTCGTCGAACGGAGCAAAATGAGGCCACTATGCCGATGAAAGATAGGCCGAAAACTAACAAGCCGGTAAAAAAAATGAAATTTTAACAAATCGAGTTGGTAAAATTAAAACCAACATAAAAAGATAAATTCGTACAGGACAGATATTGGCAATGGTAACCTGAAGAAAAAATTAATTTGTAGCGGTAAATCTGTTGCTAACAGATGAAAAGAGAGTCCTGTGTCAAAAGTTATTTTACGGGAAAAAGTCTAGTACCCGATTGCAATACTCCTGCTTATCGCAAGGGTAATCAATGCTCTATGCAAATTTTTAAATACTTTGAGTTTTCGATGGTTCGGTATGTAAACCGTCCCTTGAATTTCCGGACATCGTGAATTCAGCTCATCATGAAAAGGTATGTTCAACCTTATTGCGAGATTCTTCAGTGCTTTATTCACGCTCTTCACTTTTTGTTTCTTAACTTTAGTTTCTTCCGATTATTTTCCTCAGAACAACTCGGAAACCAGTATCAAGGTATTCCCGTGATTATGTTCTCCATTTTGTTCGCAACATCGAACTCTTTTCCATCGGATCCATTGCAGAGTACCAGATCATTTGTCCTACAAGGATTGCAAAGAGGGCTAATTTTTCTCGTGGAAACGTTTTACGATATCTTTGCAAGTTAGTGACTCCACTCCAGCACCGAGACATGAAGTAAAAATAGTGTCTTTAAGGTAGCATCCATTAATGATTGAGACACCAGTACACCGTTTTTTATCTCGCCGTTTTTCATCTCGTTTGAAGTACGCCGTTTTTTATCTCGTTTGAAGACGCTTAACTATCTTTTTTTGCATGCGTTACTCGCATGAAAATTGAACCCGTCTTTTTACTCATGTTAATTCTCAATTTCTAATTTTGGAGACATGTCATACTTTAAAGCATCGTTATTAAGTTGTTAGTCGTCAAATGGACACATAACTTTATTAAAATACTCTCAGTTATTATTTTGTTTTGATCAGATAAACTAATGAAACAATTTGAAAAAATGTGTCTTCAACTTCAGAACTTCAGAAAAAGCAGAGCATTTCACATTTTTGGTGCATAAAATTGAAAAACTGTTTTAATTATATTACTTTTTAATTCATTCACAGGAGGATTCGTTTTCAAATGATTGCGACGAACACGCTTAGGTTGTTTTCTGATACTTTCTTTAAGTTGAAGGTTCGTAAATTATTTTTCATTTTGACAGGAAGCCAGTGTAAATCATGTACACACTGGCTAACAGAGGTCAATTTTCGTGTACCATGGATGGAAAGGCCTTAACTTGTTTTGCAAAAAGATTTACATATAAGCTGTTGCAGTAGTCTTGTCTGCTTAGTAGTATGAGGTTTCGCGCATGAAAGTTACGGTTATCTTTACTTGAGATAGTTTACTTCAGATATTTCTTGATGTTACATTTATATGCAATTAAAACAGGCCGATCTAACAGACAAAATATGAGTGTCTAATTTCATGGAGTGGAACACAAAGGTAATCTTGTTAAATTTAATGGCTCAACTAACCTTTTTTTTACTCGTATCGATTTCTTATGTTAGACTATTTAAAATTATGGAGGCGGAGCAAAAAGCAGAATAGTCGAAGAGCAGAATGAGTGCAAGAGCAGAAAAATAGAAAAATATTAACTTTTATTGGTTTATACGGGCTAATTGATAAAAACAATTATTAGAATCGTCAGAAATAACAAGAA